GCACCACATTGTGTTGCCACCCTCCCGACTTTTGTGGAGGAGGCACACAAAGAAGGGCCTCAGATGATGATCTTAGTGTCCAGATCGGTTAATGTGGGGAGCGTTCCAGTTTTGGATTTAGAGCAGTGCCGGAGGGTACAGAATGTTGGGTGTCATGTGTTATGTACTGAAGGTCTCACCCTGGGCCAGCAGGGGGATACTGTAGATAGTTATGCAAATGAAGGATCGAAAGTGACGTTCAGTGATTGGATAGTTTGTATGCAAGTGAAGGATCGAAAGTGACGTTCAGTGATTTCGCTCAGTGATTTCGCTCAGTGATTCAGCTCAGTGATTCAGCTCAGTTCAGAGGATGGCCGCATCCATCGATCCCACCTTCGTCGCCAGTGTTAAATTGTGGGCGAACATATCAGACGACACAGCACCATGGGGCAATCATTATCATCTAAAAACCTTTCTTTATATGGGTACCTAGGGAGAAGATCCATAAAAAGGCAACTATATCAAAACGAATTGGCTGTCCTGCTGGTATATCTTTGGGTCAAGCCTAATGTGAGTGTGGGTTATTTCTTACTCCGTTTATTCACACACCCCAGTCAGGGACCATCCTTATTACGTCTCCTGCTGCAAAGGAAAGCCAATCACCTTGAGATCAATCCATGAGAATTGCTAAAGAAAATGTTGTGACCGTTCTTAAGGCTCTAGCAAAAAGCTATTTATTGTGAAACATTAACTGTGGCCTATTGGCACATAAATTTAAACAGTGCCTTAAATTTATCTAGGTAAATGCTGGATTTGCTAAAGAAACCATGCCTGCTGATTCCCAACATTTAATAGTTGCAAGGAGTACAACGGTCTTCTAACACACCTTGTTACAGAGAAACCACATTTTCCCAGCAAAAAACCCCAACATTTTCACCCAAACTCCAATAGTTTGTCACAGAGGGGGGTAAACAGCTTTACAGTTTTATATACTTACTAATCTTTTACCCCATTTTCTTAGCCCAAAGGAATCCCTTCTCTTTTGCACTTTATAGGTGGGAGTGTCACTCACCTGGTCTCTGATCACCTGCATCACTGCCACATACTGGGATGAAGGGAAGGCCAGTTGGTTGGCACAGTGCAAATGCACTGGTGGGTGTGTCAGATTTGCCTCACCCCTTCCTTTCTCCATCCTGGTATGCAGCAACAACACGAGTGACCAGAGGTCAGCTGAACGCTGCTGTCCCATCTTGCCGTCTCTGCTACATGACTGTCGTGGCCATCTATTGGCTAGTGCCTATGAGGAGAAGCACACTTGCTCTGCACGAAGAACTCATTTTTCTTGCAATTTTTGTCCCATTATAATGCAACTGTATTCCACACAGCTCCACGCAGTTATGGTAACTGAGAGGGGAAACAAATTCCCCCAAAGTATTGTACTCAGTGCTGGAAAATGTGATTATCCTACAACCTTGGGAGAAAGATACTTAGATATGTCCCAACGAAAAGCAAGCGACAACTGATTACTACGCAGAACGCAGCTGGTAAATAGACAGGGGAGGGAGGGAAAGAGTTGGCAGATTATCTTGGAAAGTATTGCTCAGTGTATCAAAGTATATCAGTATTAAAGGTTTATTAACTTTCGTCTAGCTAATAAAAAGATTGCTCTGCTATGTTCTGTCGGATACTACGCAATCTTCAATAATGTTCCTTCCACTTAGAACTGGCTTGTTTCCAAGGATCTATGCAGTCAGTAGTATTACAGGCCATGGGGAGTTTGGACTTGCATTTCTTGAATGGCAGCACGCTGCAATGCCACACACAGCAACACTCACCTTTCCAGAGGCAGATTGTGGACTGTTTCCTTCCCCGGAAGCTCACACAACATTTACTCGGATCTAGGGATAGACAAATCTAGCCATTTCGGTTCTTTGAGCTTCTGCTTTTCCCAATCTTAAATCCACTTCTTCATATTTCTGCAACAATTTGCTATTTTTTAAATATATTTTTTAAAAAAAGAAATGTCATGAAAATTAATCAGTATTTTTGTGCAAATTTCTCCTGATGAAACTTTTTTATTCAGTTTTGACTTGATTTTGCAAATTCTGGAAGCAGTTTCCCCATACCTAATGCATTTCTGCAGATTTGTTGTTGTTGTTGTTGTTTAGTCGTTTAGACGTGTCCAACTCTTCGTGACCCCATGGACCAGAGCACGCCAGGCACTCCTGTCTTCCACTGCCTCCCGCAGTTTGGTCAAACTCATGCTGGTAGCTTCGAGAACACTGTCCAACCATCTTGTCCTCTGTCGTCCCCTTCTCCTTGTGATCTTTCCCAACATCAGGGTCTTCTCTTCTCATGAGGTGGCTACAGTATTGGAGCCTCAGCTTCAGGATCTGTCCTTCCAGTGAGCACTCAGGGCTGATTTCCTTCAGAATGGATAGGTTTGTTCTTCTTGCAGTCCATGGGACTCTCAAGAGTCTCCTCCAGCACCATAATTCAAAAGCATCCATTCTTCGGCGATCAGCCTTCTTGATGGTCCAGCTCTCACTTCTATACATCACTACTGGGAAAACCATGGCTTTATCTATACAGACCTTTTTCTGCAGATTACATTCACCCATATATGCATTTATCTGCACCCTTCACAGCATCAGATGCATTTTTGTACACATTATTGGCTAGAAAACTGTGTTGCAAAAATTTGGAGAAGTGCACATTTTGAAAGGTCGTCGTGCTTCGGTTTGCAGTGTTCCAAAAAGTATGAATTTGGGAAGTTTCACCTTTCAGTGCAAACTGAACAGAATTTCTCCTCCACCCCTACCTTTCCCTTCAAAATTATAGGAAGGGCTTCATATTCCAGCTTCATTTGGTGCAGGAATTTTACTTTCAGGATAAACAGGACTCAATTTTTGCACCTACACAGACACACACGCCACTTTTAATTGTTCTCCAAGACATGGACGGGAGGAAAAAGGAAAACCGGGCCATTTCAGGATCAAATCAGAAACCGGGACAGATTCTGTAATTCTGGGACTGTCCCTGGAAAATCAGGACACTTCGAGGGTATGGAGTCACAAATAAAGGCCAGATGACAGGTAACATTCCCTTTGCATCTAAGGTAGGGTTGCCATATTTCAAAAGTGAATATCCGGATTTCCCTGGACGTTTCACCTACTTCCGCCTGGACACTGTTTCCGACGGCCAAATTCTGGACCTATGGCGACCCTGATGAGGGCAGGGATTTTTTTAAGTGCAAAGCTGTGAGGGATGGAGCAACTGATAATTGATGAGATCAGATAAGGAACTAATACATGCTTTGGAGTTGCCAGTGGTGTATTTCCTCCCAATACAAACTACCTTGCAAACAGGGATATTTTCCAGTCTTTCCCCACATATATATAACTGATGCAATTTGCACTTTCTTTGTAAAAAAATGCATTATCCTACATAGTTTATAGGACAGCGTGACAACAGTTGACTAGTACTTTTACGAAGTATTTCACCTAAATCACAAACAGGGTCACATGTAGCAGCCACGCTTGACAACATGGGTTCTCGGTCTGCGTTTTTACAAGACTTTAACAGTGCATAAACTTCAGATTGCACACGTGTAGCTAGGCCCGTGCAGAGCTTGTCTGAGGTCCGGGGCAAAGTCTGGTTAAAATACTCTTGAACAAAAAGGTCCTCCTCCCCATGCCAGCTTAGCCCTCCTAGGCTCGGGGCAAGTGTTCTTGGCTGCCCCTGCCGCTCTCTGCACGGGCCTGGTGGAGCAATTTAAATTTAAACCCAGAGCATTTTGGGGCAGGATTCAACCACATACCAGCAAATGGAGGTTGCACGATTTAAGTTGATTTGGAGGTCTAACTGCTATGATGACCATGTGTCAAATTTTACACTGAAGAATTTGAAAGAAGAAGAAGAAGAGTTTGGACTTGATATCCCACCTTTCACTCCTCTTAAGGAGTCTCAAAGCGGCTAACATTCTCCTTTCCCTTCCTCCCCCACAACAAACACTATGTGAGGTGAGTGAGGCTGAGAGACTTCAGAGAAGTGTGACTAGCCCAAGGTCACCCAGCAGCTGCATGTGGAGGAGCGGGGAAGCAAACCCGGTTCCCCAGATTACGAGTCCTCCGCTCTTAACCACTACACCACGCTGGTTCCAACAAAGAACCATAAAAGAGGAGAATAGGGTCTTTAACATTGCCTGCTTAGCACCTGAACAGCAGACTGAGTTGACACGTGGTCAGGCTTCCTGCCTATAGCAAGATGCAAGGTTTTAAAAATGCAATTAAATTGTAGTAACTGTTTCATATAATCTTCTTCTTTTTTGCTGCCACCCTACTCACTGGACTAATGATAGGACTGTACCACCTCAGACCACAGCTGGAAAATTCAATGTTTGAAGGCTCCTTCACATATTTTTTAAAAAGGCTTATTCCTGATATGGTACTTTGTACTTGCAGGTAGTCTTTTCTTAAACACACACACACACACACACACACACACGCACACATATGAGGGAACATGTCAGCATATGGCTATTTTTCTAGAAAAGGGGGTTCTGGAATTCACCATGAATGCCTCCCTTGTTCTCTTAGAATGGCAATGGTGTCCACCTGAGAGGGGCCGGAACTGAGGGCTGAAAAAAGAGCCCTGGTCCCACACTTGCGTTCTGAAGTATCACCCAACCATGGTTATGGCACACAGCCAATGCTGATCTGTTTCAGATCTCAGGTCCATAGGATTCAAAGCGGTGGCAGGAAATCAGAATGCCTGAGACATGCCTTGATGTTAGACAAGTCTAATCCCAGACTTACTCCTCAGCCAAATGCCCACTCATAGTTTCATCCCCTCAGCAGAAACGGTTTTTGGCAAGAGCATCTGTGCTCTGAATGTATGAGGCCAGAAAGAGCTGTGTCCCAATGGTACGTGATCAAAGGCTTGCTCTTTCCTCTATTTCATAGGATGTCACGCAAGGTCACAAAGGTCCCAGAATTCTTGGATTCTTTTTGTCTGTTCGCGTTTCAAACAACAACCCCAAGGATTATGCCAGTAAAAATAAATGTGACTATGAATTAAGAAAGCAGCTTTGTGATCATCCACTACTACAGAGCAGAGGCCAGGCTATGGTTAGTCCAATGTTATTTCCCTTTGGCGACTCTATCAAAAGTGTGGCCAAGTTGCTAGGAGTCCAGATTTCACGCACAAAAGCCCTCTTTTGTGTTTGGCCATGTAATATAGAAATACACGTATTTCTATGGAACTATGTGATGCTGTGCTTTGGGGCCAACACTATTACGGAATGAAATGCTTCCACACCCTGGGCTCCCTTTTTGGAGAAAAGAGTTATTCCAAGATGAAAAGAGCAGGCTATCTCTGGAATAAAGGATGTGGCCTGCAAGGACTCTCTGCGAGACAGCCCTCCCTTGCCTATGTTGGACTGAAAAGGTCCAAGTTTGATGTGTACCAAGCTGTACATCCAGCCCCCCTGCCCCTAGATCTGGTGTCACAGAACTGATCTTGGTTTTCATCACTTGGTGCTTTTAACTACCGTATTTTTCGCTCCATAAGACGCACTTTTTTCCTCCTAAAAAGTAAGGGGAAATGTGTGTGCGTCTTAAGGAGCGAATGGCGCTGTGCAGCTCTCCCTCTCTGCGCAGCGCCTCTTCAGCGAAGCGGGAGGAGAAATGGAAGGGGCTCCGTTTCTCCTCCCGCTTCGCTGGAGAGGTGCTGTGCAGAGAGGGAGAGCTGCGCAGCGCCTCTTCAGGGCTGAAGAGGCGCTGCGCAGAGAGGGCCACCTTAACCTCACTGGGTTGTTGTGAGGTTGTTGTGTGATAGCCCTTGTTTAGCCCCCTGAGAAACTTGACAAACAGACAGGAGAACATTATTCTTGTTTTCCCTCTTCAGTCAGTCTTAGATTCCATCACTGCCCAAACCATATTCCTCTGTCTCTCCAAACGGCCAGATGATCCCATTTTTTTTCTGGGGCTTTCTGTGAGAGAATGAAATCCAAGCACTAATGCCTATTAAAATGCTTCTACTGTTCACTTGCAAAATCAAGGTTTTGAAAAGAGGCTCTACAGAAATAAAAGATTCGGAATAATTTTTTTTCTTGTTTTCCTCCTCTAAAAACTATGTGCGTCTTATGGTCGGGCGCGTCTTATAGAGCAAAAAATACGGTATATCTGTCCGGCTCCTAGAAGAGGATTTTGTGCATGAACACCATTTATAGGGTTGGGTTGTTATTATTTAAAACACACACACACACACACACACACACACACACACCAATTTTTAAATACAAGATAATATTTTTCTCGATACCTAAGAAGTGCCCCAAATATGCAGAATCCCTTCCTCTGTATATTGATGGATGGTCCTGTTTCACTGTCTTGCTCGCCCCCACATTGCCACCACGTTTGATATCTAACTGGAGAGCCCACAATGAACTATTCCACCTGTATCCTCCACAGTGTAGAATCATAGAATTGTAGCATTGGGAGGGGCCACGAGGGTCATCTAGTCCAACCCTCTGCAACGCAGGAATCTTTCATCCAATGTAGGGCTCAAACCTATGACTCTGGGAGGCTCATGCTTCACCGACTGAGCTGTCTAATTTGGCTAAATGTAGCTTGACAGCATTCCTGCTCTGGGGTCTAAATAGTGAAATCTGTCAATTTCAGTTTCTATTTTTTGCAGTATTAAATCTGATTCCCCACATTTGCACACCAGCTTGCTATGATGGTTTTTCCAAAGTCCTCGTGAAAATTCTAATGTGAATTTCTCCCGAGTATATGAATTTCTGTATGCAGTATTTTTTTCCTAACGTGCACATTTTTTTGCAAAGCAGCTTTCTCTACTATGATGCATTCTGTATGTAGTTCTCACGAATATATTTACCTGAGGATATTTTATTTGGCACTGTAAAATTCTTCTTTTTTTGCCATTCATCTTTATTGGTTTCTTTCGACAAACATTCATGAAATCACGTTGTAACATCTCAATTCTCCTGTAACTAAACATGTGATTCTAAAACATAATAAAGAAAACGAAATATATACTTATTCATTTGATTCATTTGTACTCCATTTACAGTTGACTTCCCTCCCCTTCTTACTTGGGTCCTCAATTTTACTTAGTTAAATGCCCCTTATAACACATCTACCGTATTTTTCGCTCTATAAGACGCACCAGACCACAAGACGCACCTAGTTTTTGGAGGAGGAAAACAAGAAAAAAAATATTCTGAATCTCAGAAGCCAGAACAGCAAGAGGGATCACTGCGCAGTGAAAGCAGCAATCCCTCTTGCTGTTCTGGCTTCTGTGATAGCTGCGCAGCCTGCATTCGCTCCATAAGACACACACACATTTCCTCTTACCTTTTAGGAGGGAAAAAGTGAGTCTTATAGAGCAAAAAATACGGTATATATTTGGTAACCTATTTTCCCACTATATTTTAATATTTTTTTCTTACAAGAGTTATTCTAAACCAGTCAAAAAATTTACTTCTCCGTAATGATCTTTCAGATATTGTTTAAATATATTCCAATCATTTTTGAATTTTTGTTTTGATTGATCTCTTATTTGCCCTGTCAGATAAGACACTAAAATTCAGAGGCACGCACATTTTGAAGGATGGCAGTGTTTTGGTTCACATACTGTTTTGGAAACTGGAAGTTAGCCTTTCATGCAAACTGAGCTGAATTTGTCACCCATCTCTATTCCCAGATATTTCTTTTTTTCCTACATACCTATGGGTTCCTTAGGGACGTGGGTGGCGCTGTGGGTTAAACCACAGAGCCTAGCACTTGCCGATCAGAAGGTCGGCAGTTCGAATCCCCATGACGGGGTGAGCGCCCGTTGCTCGGTCCCTGCTCCTGCCAACCTAGCAGTTCGAAAGCATGTCAAAGTGCAAGTACAGTGGTACCTCGGGTTAAGTATTTAATTCATTCCCGAGGTCCGTTCTTAACCTGAAACTGTTCTTAACCTGAAGCAACACTTTAGCTAATGGGGCCTCCTGCTGCCACTGCGCCGCCGAAGCACGATTTCTGTTCTCATCCTGAAGCAAAGTTCTTAACCTGAAGCACTATTTCTGGGTTAGTAGAGTCTGTAACCTGAAGCGTATGTAACCCTGGGTAGGCAGATTCACCCCATGTTGCTATCCTCCTGGTTAGAATGGATTGGAACCATGAACTATATTATTAGAGGGAATAGTATCTTTTAAAACAAGACCTGGGCACTCGTCTGTGGCTCTTTGTTCTTTTCAATGTTTCCCTTCTAATGCTAAACTTAGCTCATGGACTTTCCCCTTATTTTCCTCTACTCCAGCTAATGCGAGCCATCATCAAGATAAAGTAAAGTAATGTTGTTTCTCACTTACATTGGCCAATAAGAAGTGCCTCTTCGGTTTACAATTAGCAGCCGTGGCTATGAAATTCAGCGCTGCTCCAGGGGTTAAACCCACCCGCTCCATGAACATTTTGCATAATTCCAGTGCCGTCCATAAGGCTGCGAACAGAAAACAGCAGATGCTTAGGGAAGCAGAGATTTCCATGCCATCCCGGCTTGGTCAGTCGCATTCCTTTTCAGCTATTGTTCAAATTTTGCCGAAATTTTTTTGGAAGCGAAACTTAAGTCAGGTTTGGGGTGTGCATCTGTGAACAGATTTGAAAGAATATATGAACCAGAATGTGATGTTCAAAGATGTCCCTCTTCTGTTTTCTGCACTTTTTATTCATGCCGCTTGCACATTATTCCCTACTCAGAATAATTCCATCTAGGAATTTTATAATTGCATCACTGTCCTAGGGAAAACATACTGCATTACTGATACTATTGCTATAAAGTGGGGGCTTTATAACTTATGAAAAAGCTTGGTAGTCTTGATGAGCCGTGGGGAATAAAACCCTGTACAACAACGCCATACAAAGCAAACAACATTCACGCTACCTCTCTTTCAAATTGGAACCAGTGAAGGAGGTGAAGGTCCTGTGTGAGTGTCTGGAGGCGGTTGGAGGATGGATGGTGGCTAACAGATTGAGGTTGAATCCTGACAAGACAGAAGTACTGTTTTGGGGGGACAGGAGGCAGGCGGGTGTGGAGGACTCCCTGGTCCTGAATGGGGTAACTGTGCCCCTGAAGGACCAGGTGCGCAGTCTGGGAGTCATTCTGGACTCACCGCTGTCCATGGAGGCGCAGGTCATTTCTGTGTCCTGGGCAGCTGTTTACCAGCTCCATCTGAGGCTGTTGGCAGGCTGAGACCCTACCTGCCAACAGACTGTCTCACCAGTCTAGTTCTCTCTCGCTTGGACTACTGCTCTAGTTATCTCTCGCTTGGACTACTGCAATGCACTCTATGTGGGGCTACCTTTGAAGGTGACCCGGAAACTACAACTAATCCAGAATGTGGCAGCTAGACTGGTGACTGGGAGCGGCAGCCGAGACCATATAACACTGGTCTTGAAAGACCTACACTGGCTCCCAGTACGTTTCCGAGCACAAGTGGAAAGTGTTGGTGCTGACCTTTAAAGCCCTAAATGGCCTCGGTCCAGTATACCTGAAGGAGCGTCTCCACCCCCATCGTTCAGCCCGGACACTGAGATCCAGCGCCGAGGGCCTTCTGACGGTTCCCTCGCTGCAAGAAGCCAAGTTACAGGGAACCAGGCAGAGGGCTTCTCGGTAGTGGCACCCCCCCTGTGGAACACCCTCCCATCAGATGTCAAAGAGAAAAATAATCAACAAACTTTTAGAAGACATCTGAAGGCAGCCCTGTTTAGGAAAGCTTTTAATGTTTAATAGGTTATTGTATTTTAGTGTTTTGTTGGAAGTTGCCCAGAGTGGCTGGGGAAACCCAGCCAGATGGGCGGGGTATAAATAATAAATTATTATCATCATCATCATCTGTCCACATGACTTAAACATTATTTTCCCCTCCAGGCAATTCAGACTTATGATGATGTCCTGTGAAAGTTCTACGCCAGTCAACCTCATCTGCTTGCAATACATTTTCTTGGAAAAGTCAGATTGAAGCAGCCTTTGAGGATGGGGAGAAGCAGGCTTTTCATAGCTTTCATTCTGCAAAGCAAGCAGAAACAGACAGGGAAATGAGCGCAGATAAGGAGACTAGTGAGAAGATATTGAGAAATATGTTCACACACCATAAATGACCTCCCAGAGAAACCTTTGGCATGATCTCTCCAGCCCAACAGGTAAAGTCATTTCCTCTGGATGGCCACTGTTCGATGCAGAATCAGATATGTGTATGCTCACTGAAATCAATGGGATTAAGGGAATCTAAATGCATTGGCCAGTAGCCCAAATGCTAATAATAAATAATAATAATAATAATTGTTCCCTGTGGGTTGCATTGCCCCTAAGTTTATAAACAGTCCTTTGTTAGGAATGCAGTAAATTACACCTGGAAATCTTAACTGTTAATACATGTCGTGTTTTATTTTAGTAAACACATATCTGTATCCATTATGACATATGTGTTTCATTTTAGTAAATAAAAGATACATCAATGTTTCTACTAGAAGAACATCTGAAATCAGGATTCAATAGTGTACTACACTGTGTAGAAGAAACATTCGTTCTTCATTTCAGAATGTACTCAAAACACATTCCAGCAACTATCCATTTGCTCAGTCACTGGTGACTATTTCATGAATTGATTTTCTTCTTAATAGGTTTTCTGTTTCCTGTATTATAACAAATGTTTATTTGTCCTTGCTTCAGCTTAAATTACTTACAAAGTGACTATAATAAATGATGATGCCTTTTAACTCATTATTAATGGGCTGGAACAAGAAATGTCCAGCATTTTGTGAAACATAAAGAAGTCAAACCACAAAGAAACTGTGGTTGCAATGTTGGCAAAACCCGACATGTGAATGCAAGGTTGCCCAGAGAATTCTACTGAATTTGAAAGGTGGGAGCAATAATAGGATTAGTTTAAAGGATGCTGTAGAACCTTACATTTGTCCCTATTAAAATTCACTTTGTTAGCTTGGGCCCAGTTCTCCAGTCTGTTAAGGTCATCTTGAATCCCAATTCTGTCTTCAGCGTCATTGGCTACCCCTCCCAGTCTGGCGTCATCTGCACATTTGATGAGTATCCCCTCATTTCTTTCGTCCAAGTTGTTTATATAGATGTTGAACAGGCCTACCCTACCAATGACCTCCACCCACTTTCCAACTTTGCAAATACAGAGCCTATGCAAGTACAAACTAGATACAACCCGTAGACTCTGTATTGGCAATCAGGAACCCTGTAAAAAAAGTAAGGTTGCTGATCATGCAGAGGCTACGTGCGTAGAAGTTGGGTTGTGGGTCTGGCACAGATTCGTCTTCCAAGACTAGTCTGTCAGAGACACAACCCAACTCTCACACACAACCGCTGGGTGGAAACGTAAAGATTTACAAGGAAAGTAAAGAGAAAGGAGCTAAAAACCCTCTTCAATAGTAAAATAAACTTGTCTTCTTGATGGTTTTATAATGCAAACATATTCTAATCTAAACTCGAACCAAAATTGCAGCCTTCGAGTGTTTATTACATTCCATCAGGTTATAAAATGAACTAAAATCCCCGCAAGACAATGGGATGGGCCTGTTTTGTTACTACCGTTGTCTGGAAATTTCCATGGCGAGAGAGCAGACACTGGAATGTCAAGGCTTCATCATATGGCTGCAAAAGGCTCTTCTATTACTGTGTCCCACCCACATATGCCCCTCATATTTCTAAGGAACTGGGCCAGATTTGCAGGTCATACCGAGGGCAGAAGATGAATAGCAGTGTAGACGGGAACACAGCAATTATTAACCCTGAATCTAGGTGTGTGGTTGGGCAGCTTTGGCACACATTGCAGGGGCATGGAAGCTCTCCACAGCATTTGAAGTTGAGAGTAAATCGCTGGTGGAGAAGACAAGCAGGCCCATGGTTCTCCTCACATGTTTGCCACTAAGCCAAGGTGCGGTAATGCAGGAGTGAAGAACCTCTGGCCCAACAACAACAACAGCAGCAGCAGCAACAATTTGGCCTGCCCTGCTGCTTCTTCTTTTTGGTGATCACTCATAGCCGAGTAAGGTTGTCTTCCATGAACACGGTCTTAACAGTGAGTTGGTAAATGATTGTGGAGGCCAATTCTGGCTCCACACGTCCTTCCAAAGTGGGGACATAGGTTTCTGGGTAGGAGTTGATCATGGTGAGGGTTTTCCAAGTGTGCCTTTCTCTTAGCACGTTTCTCCCTTTTGTCCTGAGTTTGAGTGTCTCATAAGCCCATGGCACCTTTGGTAAAGGCTGTTCTCCAACTGGAGCGCTTGCAGGCCAGTGTTTCCCAGTTGTCAGTGTTTATACTACATTTTTAAAGATTTGCCTTGAGAGAGTCTTTAAACCTCTTTTGTTGACCGCCCGCATGACACTTTCCATTTTTAAGTTCGGAATAGCGTGTTGCTTAGGAAGACGATAGGCATTCGCACAACATGACCAGTCCAACAAAGTTGATGTTGAAGAATCATTGCTTTGACATCATTGCCTGCCCTGCTAACCTGCTGCCTTAATGTGCATTAGCAAGACATAGTCTCCAATTGCCACAAAAATGCCAGGACCTTCACAAAAACCCTTCAGCCACCACTGCTTGTCTCTTTGTCACGCAATGTCCCGGATTCCCAATTGCAAGCTTCTTTAAAGGTAAAGGACCCCTGACCATTAGATCTAGTCGTGACCGACTCTGGGGTTGCGGCGCTCATCTCACTTTATTGGCCAAGGAAGCCGGCGTACAGCTTCCAGGTCATGTGGCCAGCATGACTAAGCCGCTTTTGGCAAACCAGAGCAGTGCACGGAAACGCTGTTTACCTTCCCGCCGGAGTGGTACCTATTTATCTACTTGCACTTTGACGTGCTTTTGAACTGCTAGGTTGGCAGGAGCAGGGACCGAGCAACGGGAGCTCACCCCGTCGCGGGGATTCAAACCACCGACCTTCTGACTGGCAAGTCCTAGGCTCTGTGGTTTAACCCATGCGCCACCCGCGTCCCATCCTTAAAGGGGCTATGGGTAAAATTGCAGCTAGCTTGCAAGAGTCTGTAAAAGTGAGGGGAAACGTTCCTGCATGATACAGGAAAAGCGTTATCCTCTGCCTGCTTTACGTGCCCAGAAGCAACATGATCGGACATGGGGAGGGAGAGTCCATACTTGATGGCATTGAAGCCTGTAAGGGACAAAAAAGGAAAAGAAAAGAAAAGAAAGAAAAGAAAAGAAAAGAAAAGAAAAGGCAGTTCTGGCCAACTTTATGGGTGGAGGGGGCAAAATGCTTCCTGTGACAGTACCCCTGAGAGAAGTGAACCCAAAAAGTTGTGTTTGAACAGTACAACTTGTACCACATTGAAAAGCAGGGGCTGCATCTGCTGTAGCTTGACCAGAAGTGGTTTTAGGATAACATGACTGGTTTGGCCACACTGGGTGCTGTGCTACTGGGGGGGCGGGGGGCACAACAATGCTGAGGAATGGGACATGAGAGGCAGGTGGGCACCAAATTTTAGTGTCATACAGGGCACCACTGAAACCTGAGAGCCCAAAGTCTGCAACTGGCTTTTTACAAGATACAAAAATACGTGATGGGAATTTAGAATTTAGCATATGTGCACAAGGAATGGCACTTGTTTCTCTGAATAACTCCATCTCTGCCTTTGCCTTCTGTTTTTATCTATTACCCTGGCACCGAAAAGCTGCATTTATTACATGTGTAATGAATATGCAAGGAAGTAACACATCAAAAGAGTGGTTTTCTGAAGACTATCCAATTGCCCTTGCGAAGAAACAGCCATTTGTTTCACACTTGGAAACCCAACATTCTTATCTGATCTACTACACTGGCTACTGCAAAAGGTAATAAATTACAAGGGGAACCTATGAATCACTTGGTTCATTGGGGTTCAGGGGTCTGTTTCTGCCATGCTTAAGTACACAAATTGGCAGCCTTGTGCCTCTGCATATTTGTTGGTGGTAGGAATGGAGGAGCAATTTGATTTAATTTGTGTTTAAAGGCACATTCTGAAAAAAATGAAAAGATGTGTACTGCCATCTTTCAAAATTCTCACTTATACAGCCAAGTAAGGAAATGCACACACCAAGGTAAAGTGTGCATATAAATGCATATATTAGCGACAATCTCACACAAGCATGCCTTATTTTAGGGGAAAATGTGCACGCAAGTCAAAACTGTATACAGTGGTACCTCGGGTTAAGTACTTAATTCGTTCCGGAGGTCCGTTCTTAACCTGAAACTGTACTTAACCTGAAGCAGCACTTTAGCTAATGGGGCCTCCTGCTGCTGCCGTGCCGCCAGAGCACAATTTCTGTTCTCATCCTGAAGCAAAGTTCTTAACCTGAAGCACTATTTCTGGGTTAGCGGAGTCCGTAACCTGAAGCGTATGTAACCCGAGGTACCACTGTACAAGGAATTCACACTAAAATGCCGATACATTTTAATTGTTGCAGAACTGAGAGAGAACTGAGTTTATGATTGGAAAAAAATGAGAAACACAGAGAACCGAAACCGACACATTCATTCATTCCCGGGCAATGGAAAATAAAATGTAAACAATTTAGGAGGATCTTGCCCAAGTGGCGTGGAAAGAAATCCACAAAAAGAAAAGTTTGGAAACTTTTACTTTTGGGCCCTGGACAGGCCAGTCAAGGTTCATTTACTAATTTGGCCATAGTTATAAGAGTTGGCATAACAGAAACATTACACGTTGCCCACCAGGCAGGTTTGAATTGCCCTAAACTGAGAATCCCTTAAGCCTATATTATCTTCTTCATAGAATCAAAGATTTGTAGAATTGGGACCATGGCTTGGTCAATGGTTTTCAGTGGTGTTAGTGGGATCGCTGAGTGAATCCCATCTACCCCAAACCCCTTTCCCCCTTTCTCACCCTCTCTATGGGATTTCTTCTTTATTTTATTTTGTATATGTGCAAAAGTCACTACACGGAAAATGGTTCAAAATCAGATAGAATCTCTTAATATAACTTTAAATAAACATAATTTCAGAACATAGGATTGCTGTCCAACTAAGTTAGTTGAACTCAGATCTTATTTTAATCATGGGGACAAGTTAGCAATGTAAGTCCAAGGGTACGTTTTATCATACATGGTGGACTTGTAAAAGAATATTGAGAATTGATATATAATGAATTGGAAAAAATGTTTTAAAGTACCTTTCCAAAAAAAATCCAGAGTCTTTTTTGTAGGGGATAATTCAGAGGGAAATTACCAGGTGTCAAAAAAGACCATTTATATATGCTACTACTGTGGCCCGTTTTCCAAAAATGGAAAACAAGCAAGGTCCCAACCAAAGAAGAATGGCAACTTAAACTGATGGAATACATGCAGCTTGCAGATTTAACATATAGAATAAGAGAACAAGAAGAATGTAGGTTTAAAGAAGAAAATGTTTACTGAATATATGTGTGAAAATTGTGTTTATTAAAAAAAGCTGGTAGCATTAAGGTAAATTCAGCAGTATAAATCAGTTTTGATGGATGTAACAATGGATTACTGAATGGTTTAGTTCATGTAAAATATGCAGGGGTGTATGGTATGCAAAATGAACCATGGAAAGAGAAGAAGGGAAGCCATTGATTTAAGGTTGTTTAAATGAATATTTTGAAATGTAAATTAGAAAATGTAATAAAAATTATATATATAAATAAAAAAGCAACGTACCGTAAGTCCAATTTCTTTCAGTGGGAACTAACTGCAATTAATTTAGTCTGGATCTAGTATCATCACTTAGCATTTGCAGTAATGTGACTTTAAGAAGGAAGACGCCATTGTACTTTGTGTTGGAGAAATGAATTAGGGTTGGCCTTCAACAAAGTATTGCTCAGAGCAGACCCGCTGAAATTAAAGGACACGGCAAAGTTTAGTTTACTCCTTTCAATAGATCTACTCTCTGTATAAATTTTAGTTGAAAACCACCCTACGTTACTTTCCCAAAGAGTTGACAACTACACTAAAAGCAAAAAACCATGCCAAAAATTTGAACAGCTCCAGTTCCCACTGCTACACTACATTGGTTCACACAAATGGTGGGTGAATTACCAGTCAATTGGTGAGTGGGGGGGGGGGGAATTGGGTGTTAAAGGAAGAGTTATTTCATGCACAGGTGCGCAAATTGGCAGCAGGAACTTGTTCTCCGTTGCAATTAGATCGTGTCCCTGAATGGTAGTTATTGATGATCTTTGCTAGGTGCCAGAAGCATTCCAGGTAAAGTTGAATGTTCTCCGCTCTATGAATGTTTTTGCACCTGCTGGCTATTTGGTTTTTTTTTAAAAGCTGGCACACTGATAGGCCAATTCTATCTGTTGGGATCACGGTGCCTGAACCCAAAGCGCTTGTTGCTTCCTCTCTTACATAACGTACCCTTCAACCCAAAGATTTCCAGGAGAGTGCACAGGATTACACTCAAACACCACAGAGCAAACTTTCCATAAAACCATAAAACCAAGAAATGAAAGTTAAAAGAGCAGCAAGAGCCAAGTCATGACTCCTGTCATTTCCAAATGCCCATAAGAAAAAAAATGGCTTAATTCCAGCTAAACTCTACTCAAAGTAGACCTGCTAAAAATAATGGACCTAAGTTTGTCTTAAGGAAGTCAGCCCTGAGTGCTCACTGGAAGGACAGATCGTCAAGCTGAGGCTCCAATACTTTGGCCACCTCTTGAGAAGAGAAGACTCCCTGGAAAAGACTCTGATGTTGGGAAAGATGGAGGGCACAAGGAGAAGGGGACAACAGAGGACGAGATGGTTGGACAGTGTTCTCGAAGCTACAAACATGAGTTTGACCAAACTGAGGGAGGCAGTGGAAGACAGGAGTGCCTGGCGTGCTCTGGTCCAGGGGGTCACGAAGAGTCGGACACGACTAAACGACTAAACAACAACAACAAAGTTTGTCATGTCCATTAATTTTAATGTCTTTAGCCTGAGCATGACTAATACTGAATACAACCAAATGGGATTCAGTGCTGTGCCAGGGGGGTTCTGTTGGTGCAATTGGACTTCCTTTCCTCCACCCTGTGCCCCCCTCAATCTTCTCCAGATGATTCCCCAACCCTCCAGAGCTGTTTTTGAGTGTGTGCAGGAGGCTGGAGGGGACAGGAAAAGAAGTTCCATTGCACGCCAGCTGAGCGTTGGAGACGGCCCCATTTCTTAACTTGATGTTGAAAAGCTGGTAACAACGGAGACAACTGCATCTCCGATGGGAGAGAATTCAACATCCAGGTGCCACCACAGAGAAGGCCCTGCTCCACATTGTCATACAATGAACCATGGCTGACCTTGGGCCAATCACTATCTTGTAGCCTAAACTAACTCACAGTGTTGTGATGATAAAATGGCACCAGCTCCTTGGAGCAAAGGTGGAATAGAAATCTAATAAAACTCAATACATTTGTCCCAGGCAGATGCTGAAATTTTGTAATCTGATTTAACTAACTGTGGACTAGGAAACAAGATTCAGCAATCCATAAACTAGCATCTTTAGTAAAATAATCGCTTTATCCTTACAGGAAGTGAGGGCCTCTTCTTTCACAACATTTATGGTTGTCCCTATTAGTGGCCTTCTGCTCCCTTGTTGTTCTAATGCAATTTAGGCTGGGATATACCATTACCGCCATTCTTAAGCAGAATTTGTAACCTATGCAAACCAATCCTGCAATGTTAGGCAATCACCAAGAAAACGTGGAAGCAATCAGCATGAGAGGGTTCCTTATCATCCTTATTGATCATGGGCTCAAAGGTCAAGGCCACAATGAAGTCTTCCTACCCTGTAAAAGTTAATGGAAGTTAGCTATTAAAGTTGTATGTGATTGTGCTTTCCACAGCTATATAAAAGGAGGCATTTTAAATGGACAGTCACCTTTTCTGACTCGTCTCTGCCTTCCTCCTATCTGCATGCTTCCGCCCAGCTTCAGTGAAGAATCCCTCAGGTAAGATACAGACAGAAATCTGCTTTACACGTATAGAGGCTATGTAAATAGCAGATTGGCAGATTGGCAAGTGGCGCATCTAATGTGTTTAAATAATCAGAAGCCTGGGTAAACTGATGCACTGATTTTTTTAGATTTGCACGGGCACCAACCCCCAAACCACACACAATTAGCTCTGTGTGGCTATTGGGTTTAGAGTGCTGCTGGTTTGATTGTGTTGTTGTTTCAATTTGAGGCTTGCATTTCCCAAAGCAGAGCTGTGCCAGCCTTCGAGGCAAACTCAGAATGTGCATAGGGTGCCCACAATTCAGGGACATGGGCCTCAAAGATGTCAATGAAGAAAGCACTACTGCATGTCTTGGAAGAGGTTCACAAAGGTAGCTTGGCCAGTCTTTAGCTGGGTGATATCTATAGATCCCTGTATGCCCTGGGAAACCATCTAAAACTTTCTAATCCCAATCGACAGCCTGGCGATATAGGCAAGTTGTAATGGCAGAGGAGATAGTCAAATGAAAATGAGGAAAGATAGGAAGTATTGCTGCAAATCCTTGATCGTGAAGGCTGCAGTCCTGTACAGTGGTACCTCGGGTTAAGAACTTAATTCATTCTGGAGGTCTGTTCTTAACCTGAAACTGTTCTTAACCTGAAGCACCACTTTAGCTAATGGGGCCTCCTGCTGCTGCTGCACCGCCGCTGCACATTCTGTTCTCATCCTGAAGCAAAGTTCTTAATCCGAGGTAATATTTCTGGGTTAGCGGAGTCTGTAACCTGAAGTGTATGTAACCTGAGGTACCACTGTATTCGCTTTCCTGGGAATAAGCCCCACTGAACTCTGTTCAAGGCGCCAGGGCTGGTCC